TAAATTGTTAGCACTCTTATTTATATGGACGTGGGTCACATGTTTGCGTAAAATTTTTTAATTGTTTTTCTTTTCTTTATTTATATGTAAGTATATAAAATTCTCGTGTCACAGTTTTCGTTCCCATACTCCTCCGAAACGGCTTCACCGATTCTCATGAAATGTTGTGAGCGTATTGAGTAGGTCTGAGAATCGGCCAACATCTATTTTTCATCCCCCTAAATGTTAGGGGTAGTCCACCCCTAATTATTTTTTTTATTTTAAGGCAAAACAACGTTTGCCGGGACAGCTAGTGTATTTATATAATCTTTCTAAAAGAGCACATGGGTAAACTAAAGCTCGCTTAATTTGATGGCAATGACACTAAAAATCAAGTATACGTCCACCTATTGAATAAGTGAGTTGCATATCCCATACATAAATATATATATATATATACCTCTATATACTTCTCTACCATATCAAACGAGATGTTTGCCACATCAACAACAGTCAAAAATATGAATCATATATATAACGTATAATTATACCTAATTAATATTTTAGACTATTGACGTCATGGTGAACTCCAAGGAATCAAATCCGCGACCATCGGAAGTAAGCCGAAAGTGTCCTAAACCACTAGATTACCGTGGCTGTTAAATAATGAAAATAACAATCACGGGTAATAACAGTCTAGTCTTATCCTTGAATACAGTACAATAGATACATAATATATCACTTAGTAAGATCCTGATATTATGTTACTATGACAATCTATACATCTATACATATAAATAAAATTGGAGTGTCTGTTTGTAATATTGAAATAACCGTTTTTACTACATGCACATGAATACGACACATACACCAAAATAACATTTTTTTACAATTTTTGTCTATCTGTCTGTCTGTTTGTTCCGGCTAATCTCTGAAATGGCTGAACAGATTTTGACGGGACTTTTATTGGCAGCTGATGTAATTAGTAGTAACTTAGGCTACCTTTATTTTAGAAAAAATCTTTTACTTTTGAAAATACAAGTTAAATTCCACGCGGATGAAGTCGCGGGTACAGCTAGTATACTATAAGCCAATATGACACAAGAGAAATAGGTATTAAGTCTATTTTTATCTACGAACTAAATCTATCCATATTAAAAAAACTGACAAGAACAAATCGGACTAAACTCACAGAGTTCCGAAGAAATAAATTTTACAGTTTCTTGCTCAAACGGCCTCGGTGATTTAGTGGTTTAACACACCGCCTTACTTTCGGTGGTCGCGGGTTCGATTCCTCGCCGAGTACAAACATTTGTATTTTTGAGTCTGCTTGTTTCAATCGGTCTGGATGTTTTCTATATATAATATGTATGTATTTAGGAAAACAAATACGTATGTATTTGTATCAGTTATCTAGTACCCACAACACAAATTTTAGCTAAGTATAATTTGGGTCTAGATGGCGCTGTATGAATTGTCCTGAGATTATTATTATGGCACATTCTTCTGTGATGAGACTGCGACTGCGAATGTAGGAACTAAAAAACGTGACTATTCAAAAGTGCTTATATTAAAATTATTTGAGCAAAGATTATTTTCTATTATTTCCATTAAAGTGTTTTACAATGAATCATTAAATCAAAATATCTTTTTTCATGTAGCTCTATTACAGACTCTTATGGTATGTCAACTCTAGTGCTTTCGATATATCGATAAATCCTGCGACATCGCTCTTGTATTCTACATTACTTGATCATAATGTAGCTATCGGGACGAAGAAATTAGCAAAGAGAACTAGTAGAACAATGCACTATTAAGTAGACCTCCCCGCGGTCCACTCTCAAAATCATCAAGAATTTATCATGATCGGGTTTGACATGACTTTTTGTTTATTTTATTTTTCTACAGTAGTACCCCGTTCACCGTTAAATCAGGCGGATGCACCGTTTAAATTAAAAATGTATAGTTAATTTTTTTTAGTTAGTCTACTTTTTTTTATGTAAGTTTAATATATATATAAAAGGTACATCAATATGGCAAACTTAACATATAGCGGCGTTATCTACAGTTAACCATGTGTGATGCGAAGGAAGACAATACAAACACTATACAGTATTATTACAAACAAACATACATAAGTCAAATAAACAGTTCCTCTTTTAATATTAGTTTAGATAACAAATATCAACCAGCTTGTTTTTTGGTACATGGTTAGAACAGAAAATCATAACTCTAATCATTCTAATCGCTGTCGCTGTCTGTCCGTCCCTATGTATGCTTAAATCTTTAAAACTACGCAACAGATTTTGATGGTTTTTTTTAATAGATAGAGTGATTCTAGAGGCATGTTTATACGTACAATACATGTATACCCGGGCGAAGCCGGGGCGAGTAACTTGTAATATTATAAATACGAAAGTTTGTAAGTATGGATGTGTGCTACTCTTTCACGTAAAACCTACTTAACGGATTTTGATGAAACTTTACAGTAATATAGCTTATACATCGAATAACATATACGCTATATTTTTTAATGAAATTTAACGCGGATGAAACCGCGGGCCCAGCTATCATTACAATAATTATTATTAAATTTTAACCTGTGAATTTAACCTTTTAATATTATACATCTGTAAATTAAACTGTGAGGACTCATAGTTAATGAAAATCATTAACTATGAGGCCTGCACTAAAAACTATTCTAGTTAATTGCATGGGCATTAACTAACAATGGCAGAATTAACTGATATTTGTTAACTGACCCGATTTTATCCTAATCCATACGCGCAGGCGAGATTATTATTCCATCATTATCATTACATAGTATAAAATAAAGTCGCTCTATATTTATATATATAATATTATATAATGCAAGCTTTGCTAACTTTGTAACTAAATGGTGATATGTCATAAGTTCTAGGTTTTCATTCTGTATCATTATTATTCATAAAAAAGACCTATATAGGTACGAGGACTATCCAGTTCGCAGCGTGTACTTTCCAAGGAATGTTACGTTCCCGTGGGATTTTTCAATAAATTTCCTTTTTATTAGATGCCTATAGAAGCAATAAAAGCTTTTAAGCAAATCAATATAATCCTCTGAACTAGGATACATAATAGGTTCATCTTTACATACTATATAATAAAATATGAAAGAAGTGAAAAGTCTCTTTTTTAAAAAGTGTTCATTTGTATATTTACGCTAAGCTTTTATAAAGCTTGTGTTATGGGTACTAGAAGAAGTGTATGTAACACCTTTTAAGAAAGGTGTTACATATGAATGTGGATGGTTATAAGGGCAGAGGAAGGCCGAAAAAAAGATGGATGGACTGTGTGAAAGATGATATGGTAAGAAAGGAAGTAAATAACGCGATGACTGCGAACAGGGATGAATGGAAGCGAAAAACATATTACGACGACCACAAATAAATGGGATAAGGAAGAAGCAGATGATGATGTTATGGGTACTAGATAACTGATACAAATACATAGATATACACTTTTTTGTAAATACATTCATAATATACATAGATAATACCCAGGCCGATACAACCAATCATACTCATGAATACAAACATATCGTCCGAGGAATTGAATCCGCGACCATCGGAAAAAAAGCGGTGCCTATATATGTATAAAAGTATATATCTATGTATTTGTATCAGTTATCTAGTACCCATAACACAAGCTTTAAAAAAATCTTAAAATATAAATGATTTGATTGATTAAGCTTAAGGTCCGACCCCTGGTTAATTTCTTCAATTCTTATTAATTTTATAACATTTTTATTAAGATTGTATGATATTCCGCACTATATTACAATAAAATAATAAATTCAAAATAAGAAGAAAGTTAAAAGTAAATATAAAATTAATCAAAATCGGAATTAATTAATATGTATATATCTTAATGTCAAGATTTCACGAAAAACATGTTGTATGTTGTTAAAGGCGGTAAGTGAAATACCACCCCAAGAATAGAAGTAATTAATTTTGTGAACATTTAGAGACACTATTTATTATTAAAATGTAAATGCTTAGAGTTAAATTATAGGATGAGAGGTCATATATATCATAGTGATGAGATCTAGAGTCTAGAGTCTATTTATTTATTTTATTCAGGCTATATGGCCCATATTATAAATAGCTTATAGACTAACATACATAGATAATGGATGATGAATGCGAAATGATAGTCGTGATGAAGAAGTAACATGTTCACAACATTTTTTATGTAATTTAATGGATTTATATTATTATGTTCAATTCTGCTACCATTAGCAAGTGTGAAACGACAAATATTAAGTGCGGTATACTGACCAGCTACTGGAAGCGTTACCACCTCTATTGGTGATGAAATTCCAACCATTATTGAGTCTACACCCATATTGCGACACGTGTTACGCCTCTGAACGACGCATCTTCAGGCAATGATTAGAGTTCGGAGAGCTTGGAAGCCTAGTGTTGACTGTTCGGTGACCAAACTGCCACTCCGACTTCTTAAGCTGAAGTAGACTTCCGCAAAATAACACCTATTTAGATAAATTACATTATTTATTTTATTATTTTTTTAAGAACAATATTAATATATACTATCCTTTATTAATATTTAAATAATTAAAAAATAATAATAATTGCTTTTAATAATCAATAATACAAAGTATCTAACATGCATACAAAAACCTACAACCGATAGACTTTTATTAAAATCTATTACTAAATTATATTTCTTTCTTTATTAAAAATATCAGTTGCTTTTAATAATAAATAAAACAAAGTACGTAACATACACACAGAAACCTACAATCGACAGACTCTTATTGAAATTTATTCATAATCTAAAATATATTTTTTTCTAATTCCGACATACAGTTTCTGTGTCCAACAAACTGTAATACCACTAGAGGCATTTATATAATACATAGTTGTAGTTATTAAAAAAAAAGTTTATGGGTTTCAATTAGGTACAACCCCCGCGCATGAGGATGGGTTATATAAGGGCAGAGCGATCCGGAGCTTTGCAGTGCTATTACGGCGGTCGCTGGGCATGCAAAGTCGTGTTTGTGGTGTGTAAACGTCTTTAACAATCGCGAACAACTTCAGGTAAGTACTAACTTTCTTTTTTCTTAAAATAGAGAATAAATTTCCACAATTATCCGCTTTAAATTAAATATTATTCACGAAAGTTTTTGGTCATAATTGTAAAACACACGTCGACATTTCGATAATAGTTTAGGAAAAGTTTCTAACTCTTTGTAACATATCGTTTTAAGGATAATTTTGTTTTTTTTTAATTGGTATAATATAAGATTAGATTAGAGAATATTTTATTAAAATTTTGAACGATGTTTTAAGTGCTATACGTACGTTATAATAATTTTGTGTTTTAATTAATATCACAGTATTTAAGAAAATTCCCACGACTAAATAGTGCATTAGAATGTACTAAAAATAAGTTTTTATTGTTATATATATATTATATTGTTTAAGATATTTCTATAATTATGTGCTTCTGTACATTACATACATATTTTGAGATTTTCTTTATGATTGATTTGTTGAACTATCACTTTAATTTAACACAATATCAATTACTTTATTTAATTAAAGATTTTTTATAATTAAGAAATTTAAGTACTTTAATAAATAAAATAATAAAAAGAATATATAATAACTTAATTCATTGAGTAGTGTTTTAAAAATCGTCATTAAATTTAATTTTAATTGAAGTTTTTAATATAATTAATATATTTTTGAATGAACTATTGTGAAAAATTAATAAATACTTTAATATTATTAATTAATACACTAACTACTGAATATATACCACGAATATTATAAACTGTTCATATACCTTAAGACATGTGAAAATTAATTTAATTTATAAATAATATATATTATACTTTTAATAAATACAAATACTAATTGTTCGTGAAAAATAACTAAAAATAAATAAAATTTCTAAAATAAACTTAGATAAAAGTAACCTAAATTATTCCTTATAACATTATCTGTCTGCGAGTGGAAATTCGTTGGAAGGGGTGCAACGACATGTTTTAGACAAATTAAAAATAAATATTTTTTTTATATAAGTAGTGCATATACTTTCTATGTATATATCTATATAGTGTTTGTTTGTAATTTTAAATTACAAACAAACACTACAATTTTATTTATTTGTATAGATCACAAAGAGGTGCAATGAATTTACATGTTCGGGGTACTCTCCGGTACTACTGATTCAATTTTGAAAATACTTTTAGTCTTGGATAGCCCATTTAGGACAGCTATAGGCTCTAACATCGCGCTACGACCAATAGGAGCATCAATGAAAAATGTTACAAGAACGGCGAGAAATTGACAATGTTGCGTCGATCAGCTTGTACGAAATATTTTAATGCTTATGTACATCAATAAATACATAAACGTATATATAATTTCAAGTACCAAAGTAAAGGTGCATCAATTGAATAATTCTCACAGCAAAACTTATTTCTAATAAGTACTGCAGAGAGAGACTCGCTAGAAATAGAGTCTAAATTTATAGTAACAATGTTATTTGATAACTTTAAAGGTATATAAAATACTAGCTGTATCCACGTGGAATAGGATAACATAAAATATTTAATAATCTAACACAAAAAAACAAAAAAAAAAAATTTATCGGTGTATCTTCAAAAATTACGAATTTCCATACATACTTACATCCCCTATTTTATTTTACCTGCTTAAGGGTAAACTTTAAATGTCGTATTTATTTATTTTTAATCCACAGCCTAAAAATTATGATACTTCCTTTCAACCTTTCATCTCCCCTTTCAACACCTTACAACCCTTTTTCTAAATTAAAGATGTCCTATAGCCTAGGCTTTTTCAGGGTCTAGACTACCTATGTACCAAATTTCATTTAAATCGGTTCAATCGTTTTTGCGTGAAAGCGCGTCTGCGTGACAGACAAACAGAGTTGCTTTCGCATTTATTAGTAAGGAATAATAGGGTACAATAATAAATTATTGTAATTGCACCATCGCTCGGAAACTGATAGTCTGGTTCTCAAAATAGGATCCCGTTTATAATTAAATGGACAATAAAATATCAGATAAAATCTAGTAGGTATAATTATACATTTTAACCGAAATGTTTAATATTTTTAGATATTAAATAGAACATGATAAGCATCTTTTCAATGAAAATATCATTTAGTATTGCTTCTCTTTATTACAGTTAAATTAGTTAAATGTTTCGACTTGTAAATATAAACTTACAAGGATTATTTAAAAGAGCAACACATAAGTTTCTTTCTCGTTCTTCTTGTGATGAGACAGCTTTCCGAAGGAGCGGTGGACAAAAAAAAAATTTTGTTATGACAGTTCAAAAGTGCTTAAATTAAGTTTATTTTGATAAATGTTTTTCTATTCTTCTATTCTGTTCTACAGTACTAACTAGGCTTCCCATGGGTGTACATATATTACAAAGATCCATCCTTTTGAATCACTCTATCTATTGCTAAAAACTTCATTAAAATCCGTTTCGTGATTTAAAATGTATAAGGGAACAGATAGCGGAAGCAACTTCACTTTATAGTAAACTAGGTGTGCTCGCTGTTTCACACACGTGAAATTTATAGCCTATATGTTATTCTGATATATAAACTACATTACTGTAAAGTTTCATCAAAATCAGTTCAGTAGTGTTTGCGTGAAAGAGTAACAAACATATCCATACTTTCAAATTTTCGCGTTTATAGTATTAACTAGATGTACCCTCGACTTCGTCCGCTATGAATTATACTTTATTTTTCTAAAATAAAATAATGTTTCTAAAATAAAAGTAGCCTAAGTTACTACTTATTACAAACAGACACTCAAATTTTATTTATACGTATAGATTACTTATTTATAACCTTTTCTTGAGACTTGAGTATAAATTTTAGTAAAGAATTTTCGTTTATGCAAAAATCTACAACCTTATTATCTTTATCTTATCTATGAAATGGCTGGACCGACTTTGATAAGACTTTTTTGGCAGGTAGCTGATGTAATGAAGAGTAACTTAAGCTATTATTATTTTAGAAAAAATCTTTTATTTTAGAATAATAAAGTTAAATTCCACGCGGACGAAGTTGCGAGTACAGCTAGTATTCAATCAACTTTTTACTACAGTTGAATACTAAAACAAATCTACCTACAATTCTTTATAATTACCACCATTATACATCCCTATATTTTTGACAAATAAATAAATATTTATGCATTTTATATCCTCAATTAGTATTATTTAAAAAAACAATTTACTAGTTGATTTATTTACGATCTGTTTACTTTTACAGTTACTAAAACAAATCATTTTCTTAAATGACAACTTCATAAGTATAGTAATAATAATAATCTCAGGACAATTCACACAGCGCCATCTAGACCCAAGTTAAGCTATCTAAAGCTTGTCTTACGGGTACTAGATAACTGATACAACTACATAGATTTTTTTTTTTTTCGTAAACACATACACATTATACATAGAAAACACCCAGACCGATACAAACAATCATACTCATGAATACAAATGTTTGTGCCGTGCGAGGAATCGAACCCGCGACCATCGGTCGTAAAGCGGTGTGCTAGACCGCTAGACCATCGAGGTCGTCAAAGGTATATAAATAAACCTGTCAGTAATTCTAACGTATTCAATTAAAGTTTTTACCTACACAAGATTGATTTCCGAACTTTTTTCACTTGAACCGTGAGTCAAAAATATATGCAGGTTCTTGACGTAGTCGGTTTCATGAGAAGCTGAGTTGGTATGGATGTTGTACTAAATTTTTTTTTAATTTTTTAAATTTATTTATAACCAAAAAAATAATTTATATATTTGTAGAGACTTATTTATAACAAGATAAATAAATAACTCTGGACTATTAACACAGCGCCATCTAGTCCCATGGTAAGCAAAGCTTGTGTTATAGGTACTAGACAACTGATATTAATACTTAGATACTTTTTTGTAAATACATACATAATATACATAGAAAACACCCAGACCGTATAAAATCATACTCATTAATACAATTGTTTACACCGAGCGAGGAATCGAACCCGCGACCATCGGAAGAAAAGCGGTGATATTTGTAAGTTGTAAAAGATTTGCTCTATGACAACCTCATACTACATCCGATCAATCCCTCGTCAAATCCGAACGGAGATCAAAATTACGACGGCTACACCCAAGTTTGGAACTTCTAGTAGTGCTCTCAGACTAAAGTTGTACCAGTAGTGGTATACCGTATCGTATCGTTTAGTGGTAGGAGTTCGTGTTCAGCTACTCCATAAGTCCTTCTGCAGGTTTGGAGTGCCATCTGTACTCGCCCTTATCGTTCCGTGAAGGGATTGTTGCGGCCAACAGAATTAGAATAGTGCAAAAAATATCTCTGGGATAGCTTATACGGTTACGGCATTTTTAAGAAGTTTTATGATACAATATAAAATAAAAAAATCAATATATATATATACTTGTATATATATTTAAAAATATACACATAATATTACTGTAAAGTTTCATCAATGGGAATATTATGTGTATTTAAATATATATAACTCAAAGGTGACTGACTGACATAGTGATCTATCAACGCACAGTCCAAACCACTGGACGGATCGGGCTGAAATTTGGCATGCAGGTAGATGTTATGACGTAGGCATCTGCTAAGAAAGGATTTTGATTAATTCTACCCCCAAGGGGATAAAATAGGAGATGAAAGTTTGTATGAAACTTTGTCAATTTTAAACCGATCGGGCTGAGACTTTGCATGCATAAAGCTACTATGACTTAAGCATCTCTTAAGAAAGGAATTTGACAAATTCCACCCCTAAGGGGATAAATTAACGCGAGCGAAGCCGCGGGTAAAAGCTAGTAAATGATATAAGGGCAGAGAAAGGCCAAAAAAGAGATGGATGGACAGTGTGAAAAATTTGGCAATAACGAGATAACTGCAAACAGGGATGAATGGAAGAGAAAAACATATTACACCAAATGAATGATAAGTAAGAAGCAGATGATGAATAGAATAGAATAGAAAATCATTTATTCAAAATGATTTTCTATTCTAT